TGTTTTTTTTTTTTTTTTTTTTTTTTTTTTTTTTTTCTTTTTTGCTTGTTTCTCTTTTTTAGGTTTTCAGTGATAGTAAGACCAAACTTGAAAACAGGATTTCTGGCAGATTTGTACGGATCTTCCCCAGAGAGTATTCAGGCCACAAGTCGCTACGTGTGCAACTGTACGGCGTAGCTGAAGGTAAGGAATAAAATCTTTGCCGTCCGTATAATTTGTCATAATTTAGATATAAAAAAACCAATTAGCGAAGAAAGTGAATTACAACCCTTATTTTGAAAGTTTCAACAGCATTAAATTTCTGGTTGGAATTCAAAACTATTTTATAATTCGACAATTTCTAAAAAAATCTCTTGTTCAGTTTGCAAAGAATCGCTCGGAGTAGAGAACAGAGGTATCGAAAACAACAAAATGACGTCATTGTCTCACCATGACAACGCGCACAGTGCATCACGTGGTCGCCTCTATGGTAACTCCTCATGGTGTAGCAGTACGTCTTCCCTACATGAGTACATACAAATTGACCTTGGAAAAGTAAAGACAGTAAGAGGGATAGCTACCCAAGGAGATCACGTGACAGACAAGTGGGTCAAGACGTATACTGTTGGTTATAGCATGGATGGAAGGGGTTACATGGGATATACTGGTGAAACAAACACTACAAAGGTATTTGAATCGGGCTCTTGCCTTCGTTCCACTAATTGATTCTCAAGCTCGATGTTATATGTGGATGGAGATGCATGGTGGATATCGTCTGAGCTTCAGGATTTATTTTAACACGATCTTCTATTTTTTTCCCTCACATTGTTATCATCAATCAACTTGTATCATCATCATGCATCATCATGCATCATCATGCATCATCGCCATATTCATCATCGTCGTCATCATCACCATCATGCACCACCATCATAATTATCATCACCATCATTATCATTGTCATCATCATCATCACCATCATCATCACCATTATCCTGCACCATCATTATCATCATCATCATCATCAATTACTCATCAGGGCATCATTTGTTTTTCTTGTACTTAATCTTTTACATCTGATTCTGTTATACATCATTGACAGGTATTACCTGGCAACACTGACAGCAATGGCGTCGTAGTTAACTGGTTACGCTATCCCATCAATGCACGATACATTAGAATATCACCTCAAGATTGGAATGGAGCTATTTGTCTGAGGATTGATCTTTACGGCTGTCAAGGTAAGAATAGAATTCGTACCATACTAACATCTCACTTACCTGAGTACCTTGCTCTATGAAATGACTTCCACTCTTAGCCAATAGCTAGATCTATTTACCTTAGCTTGGGCGCAATGCCTGCCCATTTCAGACCACAAGTCATGCCCTAGAGTATCATTTCTTTGTTTAACGGTTGTGCATAAGAAGGCAAATGAATATGAATACAACTCAAACAAAGAATCTTATCCTCAAGACCACGTGTCATTCCCTAGAGTTTTATTTCTATGTTTAACAGTTGCACATGAGAAGACACATGAATATGGATACAACTCAAACAAAGAATCTTATTCTCAAGAGAATGCATGACACGTGGTCTGAAATGGGAAAAGATTGCTCCCAAGCTAGAGTCTTTCCTTCCCCCCTTCGTTGGGATTTTACTAATGACGTATGCTACTGCTAGCTGAGGCGCTGTCCAATATCCAGTATGGGCTTTAAATAGTATGTATTTGATACACTTCTTTTATCTCGTAGCAACCTGTTCCAACACCCCACTGGGACTTGAAAGTGAGACAATCCAAGACTCCCAAATGAGCGCATCGTCTCAGTACAACACCAGTTACTCAGCGTCCAAGGGAAGGTTACATTACACAGGAGGCCCATCGTGGTGTGCATCTACAAGTGATCCTAATCCATATCTACAGATTGACTTGGGGTCGCCTCACGTGATCTGTGCTGTAGCCACACAGGGTGACCATCAAGCGGATCATTGGGTCGAGGAGTACAAAGTAAAGGGATCTCTTGATGGAATAACGTGGGGAATTGAAATGGTATGAATTAGAAATATTTATGAATAGTCATAACGACACGGACCAATCATAGCATGCGAGATTGCTGCTCATCCAATCAAAATCCTAAAACACGTCACGTGGCACGGCACGGCACAAACTCCGTACCGTGAGGTCTTCTGACAATCTTTTTCTCTGTTGCGCCAGGACTTCATAGCGAATTCAGACAGAAACACCCAAGTAAAGCACGATATCACGGTTGCCATGACAGCGAGATTTGTAAGATTTCTACCTACGCGTAACTATGGTAACGCCTGTATGAGGGTGGAGCTGTATGGAACGACTACAGGAGGTGAGAAAGAAATACTTTGAAATTAGGTCTAGGTTCCAAGCTGTTTTGTTATTTTCTTGAACGATTGAGGTAAGTCACGTCTTCTTATTTGGTCTCATTTAGGTTGTTCAAATGAGCCAATTGGAGTGCGCTGGGGAGGTAAAATAAAGGACCATAGAATGACGTCCTCATCCAATAAAGGCCCCGAGTCATTACCATATATGGCAAGACTGCATGGTCCACGTGGGTGGTCACCCAGAATAACGGCTAATGCGTCGGATTTTCTACAAATCGATCTTGGGTCTGTGTATCTGTTGTGTGGTGTGGCTACTCAGGGGGGTGGAGAGCGTCGTCAGTGGACTGCATCATATACTATAGCTACGTCAATGGATGGCTCGAAATGGGTATCAATCAAGGACAATAACACRGATAAGGTATATTGCTGCTTGCTTCATGTTAACGTACCTAGAAAGACTCTATATGGCAGTCTTTGTCAGGGACCGCGGAGCGAAGTTTGGATTGGAGAATATAATAAGCGAATAAATCAAAAATGGCGGCAAAATTATTGGTGGGGTATGGCGCCTTTGCCCCCCAAGCTCCGCTGAATTTGCGTTATTGTGCAAATATGAAAGTACATTATAGGGCTGCGCCCACAGCAAAATATACCAACTATATGGCTTTTTATGTCACATACGTGATCAACAAATACCATGATGTTGTTCCTGCCAGGTATTTCCTGGTAATACAGACAGTAGTACTGTGGTCAAGAACACATTGAGGCAAGTGACTGTTGCTAAGTTTGTACGTTTCTACCCGAGAACATACCATGTGTACAAGCAGCTACGAGTAGAGGTGTATGGAATACAACACGGTAAGATATAGATTGCAGATTATCAATCCTCCCTCCTGTCTCTTCTCACTTCTCTTCTTCCTCTACCCACCTCTCTACTGCCTCTTGCCTCCTCCTCCCTGCCTCCTGCCTCCTCCCGCCTCCCTCCTCCCTCCTCCCTGCCTCATCTTTACTCATTCCTTGCTCCTGCCTTCTCCCACCTCCCTCCTGTATCCTGCCTCCCCTCTCCTCCCTCCCACCTCCTTGCTCCTGCATGCCTCGTCAACCCTCCGTTGTCCTTCCTCCTTCCTTCCACCCTTCCTCCTTGACACCATCCCTGTATCATAATGAACCTACTGACAGAATCCGTTACAATATAATTACATTGTATGTTTTACACCAATATTCCTTGCTTTGCAGGTTGTCGCCAGGGTCTTGGGATGGAGAATGGTCGTATCCAAGATTCGCAGCTCTCCGCATGGTCTTCTTCAAATAAAAACCTCTCCAATGCGACCACCGCTCGACTTTACAGTCATTCCGCATGGAATGCTGGTATCCCAGTGGAGTATTATTTACAAGCAGACTTGGTTGATGCTAGAATGATCACAGGGATTGCTACACAAGGCAGTTCAGTTCATGACGGGTGGGTCGATTCTTACCATGTGAAATTTGGTTTCTCGACCACTTTCTGGTACCAGGTAATGTCAACTATTCTATTCATCCTACAGTTCCCGACGCCATCTTGAAAGGTAGCCGTGCCTTTGCATCAAAGCGAGACGAACGTTGAGCTTGCAATGATAGAGACATGTGAATAATTGTCCAGGGTGTTAAAAAGGTCTCTATCATTGCAAACTCACCGTTTGTCTCGCTTCGATGCAAAGGCATGGCTACCTTTAAAGATGGTGCAGGCAACTGTGAAAGGGACTATTACTTTGTCTTGAAGGGAAAACAAATTTATAGTTTATTATATTGAAAACGTTAACGAAGATTTGAAAGTTATAAAAGATCCTAAGTACACATTTTTCGGTCCGTACCGTAAGTTATGGACTCCAAATTGACCAATAATAGCGCGTGAAATTACCTTGGCATATAATATTCCTAATTATTAAATCAGTCAGCCGTGGTTCATCCATGCAATCTGTTTGGATTTCTAAATCCCAGTCCCATAATATCGACATAAAATCTTTAATTCTATGTAATTCAGATGAAGAATTTCAAAGGGAATGAAGACGGCCATGGTGTGAGAGTGAGCTGGCTGACGCGACCCCTCGGTGCTGTATTCATCCGTATATTTCCTGATCACTGGAAATCCGCTCCTTACCTTAGAGTCGATCTTTATGGATGTCAAAGAGGTATTTAGCTAGAACTTTACTATGCTATTGCTAAATAGAGCATGTTGGATAAATTCAATGGAATTGTATTTGCCTTTTTGGTATCTTTTGTATAATCCAACATTGCGGCCAAAACTTAACAAATTTTAGTGTCTCATTGTCAAACATACGAGTCTGAAACAGTTTTCTATAAGTAAAAAAAAAAAATCCTATGTATGAATTTATTATTATAGTATGAATTCATTATCATCATCATCATCATCATCATCGTCATAATTATTATTATTAATTATTATTGTTATCATTATTTATTATTATCGTTTGTAGTTGCTTCACCACGAATCGTCACAGTCTCACAAGACGCTAACCTTACTGCGATCAATGGGTCAGCAGTGACACTCACTTGCTCTGCTTACGGAGAACCTTTTACAAGCATTCGATGGTTCAACGCGACCAGTGACGTCACATTGCCCACAAACAAGCCATCCTACAATGGGGGGCGCGTTGATGGGAATGTTACAGTTCCCTATACCTATGCCGAGGTGGTATATAGCACATATGAATGTCAGAGAGTAAATCAAAGTAGGACGATACGTTGTGTGACGTCGTACACTTGTTCGGCATACTACACTCACTACACTAATGAAGGATTTGATGAACGATCAATCAGATTATTCGTAAACTTAAGTAAGTATAACGTTTTTGATTAAATTACTTTAGTTTGGCTTTTCAGAGTCTGAGGTTTTTCATCCAAGTTGTTAGCTGTGCTCTTTCGTCCATGAGTAGTTTAATTCCCGTTTCTTTCCCACACTTTTTCGACCCTTTTTGTAATCCATTTGCTCTAAGCGTTACATGATACAACGAAATTGTAGAGCGCGCATCAACTTCAGCTTACTAGGAGTGAATGCGCATGTCAGCGAAAGATCATATTTATCTTTATGTTAGTGTTATAATAAATATTTTTGACCTGATTTCCGCAGCTCTTCCCGGTGCTCCTCCAAACCCATGGACCTCAAAAATGAACTCTACCTCGGTAACTATCACCTGGCATCACCCCAACCCGGGTGACGGGTCGATATTGAGTTACAAGATAAAATACGGCAAATATGGCTCTAATGTAACAAGGGTGGTCAACAGCACCAGTACTGGAAATAAGACTCACTCCACAAGAATTACGGGTCTTGACCCTTATACCCGATACTTTGTGACGGTCATCCCTGTGGGGTCGATAGGAGAGGGAATGGAGAGCCCGCCAACAGTCTTTGTGACGTACTGTAAGTAACATTTTAAACACAAAAATGTGAAAAATTGAACGAACCTTACCGTGCATGTGTTGATGCCAACCAATATGGCGGAAAATGATCACGTGATCTGCTAAGCCAAGAATGGCTACGGTCATTTATGTTTGCGAATTATTTTTAGTAAAGTTTTTGCGAAGTAGACTTTATTTGGACCGTCAATGCCAACCAATATGGCGGACAAGGATATCACGTGATTTAATGAAAACATCGTAAAGGTGCAAGTATTCCTAACAAAACGAAATGCCAAAACAATAATGATATTAATCTTTGATTTCACATGGCGCCTATAATGTCACGTGCATACCAAGCATTCCACAGGGTGCCCATGACAAGAGAATTTATATCATTATACTCCCCACTGATTAAGCTACCATTTTTCTAGTAAGATCAAGTATACACGTACCATCCACTCAGTACATCCTCCAGGCTGGACAGATCAATGCAACTCTACAGTGCTATGGACAAGGCTATCCTCTACCTAACATAACCTGGACTAAAGATGGGCTCCCTGTGCCAACCAACCAATATATTAATAACAAGTTAAACGAGACCAACATCAGTGGTCAGCTGATCTTGGGGAATGAGTCTGGCGTGACCTATCAGGAGGCTGGTAACTACACATGTCACGTGGTTAATCATGTGGACGGGCTTGGTCCAATCAGCAGCGCTATGGAGGTCATATGTAAGTGACGTCATACTTATTTTTTCATTATAAATTATAACAATTTTCTGATAATTAAGCAAGGGCTTCCATTGTTTATATGGTTAATGGCTAACACATCGCACATGGCTAACGTGATGTTTTTTTTCTTTATACTCAGTCGCACCTGAAGTAAAGGTTATTCCTAGCCAGATATTCTCTGTAAAAGAAACTACAGTCACTTTCCAGTGTATCGTGTCTGGTGTTCCCTTGCCCGCCATCTCGTGGAACTTTAATGGAGAACAACTTCCAAACAACACTAAGACGATGAATAACAGCTTGATAATCAAGGACATCATTAACACACCGGCTAACGAAGGGACTTACACGTGCGTGGCTACAAGTAGAGCTGGTGTTGCTAAATCTAGTGCAAACCTTACAGTCTGGGGTGAGCATTTATTAATATATTAGCGATAAATAATAATCATAAATACTTCTGTATTCTTATTCGCTTTCACTTTTTTCTTTTCTAGTGTTGCCAAAAATAGTCTCACCGCTGAAAAATATCACTCTGATGGTGGGCTCAACATTGAATATGACATGCGCAGTCAGTGGCGAGCCGTTACCTGATGTGACATGGACAAAAGATAACATCACTAACGTGACAGAAGTAGAGTACTCAGAGAGAAAAACAAGGCTAGTTATCAGAAACGTGAAAGTGCGTGACGAGGGTGTTTATATGTGTAACGCAAGTAGTAAAGCTGGATGGACTGCGTCACGTGCCGTTGTTACCATAAGAGGTGCGTGACATGTGTAACACATTTTATCATAACCACGATATAATTTTTTATCTCTCAAAAACATGGAAAAGGGTGTAATGTTGGATGTAATGTTTTCTCATTTCAGACCACATATCATTCCCTAGAGTATCATTTCTTTGTTTAACGGTTGCGCATGAGAAGACACATGAATATAGATACAACACAAACAGAGAATCTATTTCTTAAGGGAATGACACGTGGTCTGAATGGGGAAAACATTACACCAGTAGAAAAAATACTAAAACATTTCGCCCAAGGTAAAGAGTTCTATACTAATGATTTCCCTTATGATTCTTTGTGTGCCCTTTCAGCTGTCGAAGAAGTATTCTTATCCCAGCCTTACACCAGATCCTACACCAAGAACCAAACGAACATAACAGCTGAGTGTTACGGTAGAGGATACCCAAAACCCAGCATATCATGGATACGAGACAACCACACGATCCCTAGAGTAGAGTACCTGACATCCAATGACACGACGCGTGTGGTTCAACGGATACAGGATGGAATAACAGAACCATTGGATAATGTTACCAGTCGATTGTATCTAAGAACTGCGGGTATAATGTATAGGGATGCGGGGAACTACACGTGTCGAGTCAGTAATGGGGTTGGCACGATACCAGCTGAAAAAACCTTGGAAATACTGTGTAAGTAGGGTATTATATATCATTAGTTTTGAAATGAAACGGGTCAATATATGGAAAAAGGTTGGTGAAGGTTTAGTCGATGGAATATAAAATTTTACCAAGCTTTGTCTGTACGCTCTTCCGATACTTCTTCTGTGCAGACATGCAACAAAATCTTCACCACCATTTTTATTTAAAAAAAGCTGTATTGCCTATACCTTGGGAACATTTGCGCCCAGAACGTGTATCTGAAAGACCCTTGGTCAAGTTTCCCTGGATATTTGGATAAATATGTATATACAAACTTTCTTCAATAAGGCACACATTTGCAGCTACGCCCATCCGCTTTTTAAGGAAGTGCTATGTACACATTGAAAACTGGGCGTATCTTTCGTGTCCATATTTCATGATTTATAGCTTGTATTTTGTCTTTAGTTGTTCCTGAGTTCACAATTTTGCCGCAAGATCAAATGGTACTAGTTGGATCGCACGTGCTGTTCACGTGTGCAGCCTCTGGTGTTCCTCTTCCCCACATATCTTGGTTATTCAACGATAAACCAACCAACTATAACGTTACCAATGGCAACCTGTTTTTTACCGCTGTACACAACAATCGCTCATACGAAGGAAACTACACGTGCGTAGCGAGGAGCAGGGCCGGTGAAGATAGGCGAACAGTCTCGTTATATGTCGATGGTAAGGAGGTGCTAAAACACGTTTCAAGCCATTAACATACTTTTGTTAATGAAGGTCGTAAAACCTATATTTCTTGTCTAAATATAAATTTTTAAATAAAGTTTTGATTTATTTTGTCAGAGCTGCCAAATGTTCGTATAGAAGGCCCATCCCAAGTAGAACTCGACACAAACCTGACTCTCACATGCGTCGTCACCGGTGACCCAATACCCTTTGTTTATTGGACAAGAGATGGGTCACGTGATATTCCAGATGCCATTTTTTCCAACATGAATAGAACCTTATCAATAGCTAGCGCGCAGCTACCTGTGGAAGGTGTTTATCGGTGTGTCGCGTGGAACCGAGCGGGGAATGATTCTATGGACTTCAATGTTACTGCTCTGGGTAGGTGTTTAAGATGAGCTGCTGTTTACGATGGAAAACACTGTCAATTATTTAAACATTTTTACCTAATACTCCTGACTTGGCGCGTAAAGTTTACGTATAATACTTATCTCCTTAATCTGCGATGCGGGACTTATCACGCATGCGCAAGATTCCAGTAAGATCGCGGGCGCATGAGGGCACACTCCGTCTTGTTTGAAGAATGGAATATTCGTGTTCTGTGTTCCGTAGGCAAACAGTTTGAGTTCAGGGCATTATAGTCCAAGACATTCAAGTGCGGGRAAAACCACATCAAGGAGTAGACAATGCACATTACTTCACTAATCAATGTATATTAATGTATATTATTGACCTCCTCAGCCTATCCCATGGTGCACGTCCCTCCGCCATATCTCCGTGCATATCGTCTAGATCAATCAAACATCAGTATCGAATGCAAAGGAAGTGGATATCCCACACCAACTGTGCTGTGGAAAAAAGGCGATGACGTCATCCCGTTGGTTGAATTCTTGTCGGTAAATGATACTGACSGCGTAGTACAAGTATCCGAGGGTAATATCAGTAATCCTCTTCATAATGTCACGAGTGTTTTGTATCTGAGAACACGAGGAATACTGTACAGTGATGCAGGGAACTACACATGTGAGGTGACTCATTCTGCTAGTCCTAACCCTGCGCACCAGACGCTCGAGGTTTTGTGTGAGTATCGATCGAGACATTGCTTCATCGTTTACCCCTCCAACAGACCACATCTATTTTATGTTTGCTTCCTCTTTAACTTATTCCATATATTTTCAATTCTCAGTTGAACCTGAGTTCATTTTCACTTCAACCGACAAAATCGTGTTGACCGGAAGTAACGTCACGTTTTCGTGCTTTGCATCTGGAGTACCCGAGCCTTCTATTGGTTGGATGTTTAACAATGGTAACGTGTCAGTACCTCATTGGACAACAGACACTAACATCACCGTGATAGATGTTAAGAACAGTGATCTGTATGAAGGGAACTACACGTGTATGGCGACCAGTAGAGCTGGGACGGACAGACACACGGTTTGGCTGGAAGTAGACGGTAGGCACAAGTTAATCTTTTGATAGAATCTAATGTAAAAGATTGGTTTATTTCGAGCCCATTTTATCTAGATAATTTTGGTTCATCAACATCCAGAAATGTCAGGATTCTTTTTGGTTCCATTTTATCCAGTAATATTAATAAATTTTGATCCATTCCATCCAGTAATATCGGGCATATTCAAATTAGCCTTAATAAAATCTTTGTCTCTTTGTCCAGTTCCATCGATTGTCCGTAGCATCACCGGTAACACCAGCATCACAATCAACACGGCTATCAATCTGACATGCGCAGTAGATGGTGACCCATATCCCAATGTCTTCTGGGTAAAGGACGGATCTCGAAACATCTCCGGGGCTGTCTATCACCATGACAACCGAAGCCTATTGATAAGGCATGCGCAGATCAAAGACGAGGGCGAGTACCAATGTTTGGCAGAGAATAGAGCTGGAAAAGACAATAAAACAGTCGATATTTGTGTATTGGGTAAGTTTAAATATTTAAATATAATAAATTAATAATAATAATAATAATAATAATGATAATAATAATAATGTTTAGATAAAATGGTTTACGAATCTCGCCCCAGGCTTCTCTTTAATTTTCTTCCGATTGGGGACTGGTGCGAGGAAATAAAGTGACGTCATCTACTACGAATTACTATTTATTAATTTATTTTCAACTTTATCTTGCAGCTTCTACAAGTATTTATACTTCTCACTCGTCACCAAAAGTCTTCAATAGAGGAGCTGACAATCAATTTATTGATTGCTATGGTAACGGCTATCCAAAGCCCTCAATCTTCTGGCTTCATTCCAACGCGATCGTTCCCTTGGTAGTCGAATTGACTAATGAAGACACAAAGCGTGTTGTCCAGATGGTCAAGAATGATATCTTACTTCCTCTGCAGAATGTAACAAGTCGGTTGTATCTGCGAACATCTGGACTGACTTATGCACAGGCTGGGAACTACTCGTGCCAAGTCTCCAATAAAGTTTCCACTTCTCTTAGGACAGTGGAGGTTTTGTGTGAGTGAATTTTTATCTTTCAGTTAGACATTATGTCTTATTGTAGAAAGTAGAAAGTATCACAATAAAAATGTGTTGCGTGCAAAGTGGTATTAGAAGCAAAATTACAACAGTGTTTTGTGACGCGATTTTGTTGCCCGTATTACTGCATCTTTGCGTTTAAAGTAAAAAAAGTCCATTGTTGTTAAATTTAGTTTTCCCGATCATCGATGTGATGCCATCAGATCAAATAGTCCTCGAAGGAGCGAATGTCACATTTACCTGTAAAGCATCAGGCGTTCCTCACCCAACTGTCACGTGGTTGTTTAACGGACAAACTATCCCATGGAACCACACGATCTCCAATGAGTCTTTGGTGCTGTGGAATGTTAGAAATAAAGTTCATGAAGGGAACTACACGTGTCTGGCGACAAGCAGAGCTGGACAGACAAGCTACACGGCACAACTTGCTGTAGACGGTAAGTTCTTTAGAAAAACGCGGATAACCGCTGTGTCCCCTGTGCTCATTTACTCAGGGTCAGCCTCATTTCAGAGTCCCAATATTTAGAAATAGAGCATGTGCATGTTACGTCATTGCCCCCATCTTGGTTAACGATAGCAAAGCATTCCTTATTAGCTTCTCTTGTTAGATCAAACAACATGGCGGATGTTTCATTGTTATTCATATCTCAAGGATTTTGAGTCACATGTTCGCACACACACTGTATACCAACGGTAAAGGAAAGAACGCACAACTTCAACAATGCAAACGCTTCGAAATTCCATGGAATTTTTTCACTAGAATACGTGAATATTCTAATCAAAATCGAGGTATATCTCGCGCAACAGTATTTGAACTATTCCGATTCTGTTCCATGATCGTGATATGACTACCATTTTGCAATCTTGCTTCAGTTCCTCCTCGAATACTCGAAGTTCATGGCAACAGAACATACCTGATCAATACGAAGATTCTCCTAACATGTAACGTGACTGGTGACCCAGTCCCTTCCATCTCGTGGACAAGGCCTGGTGCTAAGCCTATCAGTTTCAACAAAACGCTTGTTATTGACAAGGCTGGATTGGATGATGAGGGTGAATACCAGTGTGTGGCAGTCAGCAGAGCTGGCAACACGTCCTACAAAGTCTTCATAACAATTCAAGGTATTGCGAAATATTTCTATAGTTTGGACATGCAACAACGTGGGAACTATTTCTGTCAGTCATCCATTTTGAGTAATTATTTTTAATTACCTTTGGTGCGTAAAAAAAGTTGACAATAATAAAAATACCATCTCAGTATCCTGATAATCTTATATATGCTTCTATGCTTGGATTCTGTCCTAAAACTAACTCTCTTCTGGTGACTTACGAATTAACTTACAATTACAGATCAATAGAGTGCAAACAATATAACCGTGAAACTTTAGTAATACTAAATAGCACAATTTCATGCAAATTCCATTGTTTTCTATTGTTTAATTAGCACTATTTTGTACTATTTAGTAATAAGTGTTTCACGGATTAATTATTTGCACTCTATATTTTAAAACTGCTACTTAGAATTACGCTCTGGCAAATTGCTAAAACACATTAAATAGAATTTAAAACGTTCTACTAATTCAATGATAATTGATATTATTAAATCTTCAGCTCTTGTTAGTTTGTACGTCCCTCGACCAATCAGAAGATCTTATCTCCAAGGAGACCAGAATGTCACTATCGACTGCCATGCGAATGGCTACCCTAAACCATCAATAAGCTGGTGGTACAATGGCCGTCCTGTTCTTACGGTTGATGAAGTATATCCTACTCATACGTCACAGGTTGTTCAAGTCACGTGGGAAAAAATCTCAGAAAAGCTGCAGAATGTCACGAGTCGGTTGTTTATTCGCGTTGATGGGATCTCGTTCATCGATGCTGGGAACTACACTTGTAACGCTAGTAATGGCGTGGGGGATGATCCTCGGCTGCAGTCCGTGGAGATCTTGTGTGAGTGTTAGAAACAATGCTTGCTGTGATACCGTACCATGGGTCGTGCTACATATGTGATTCCGTACCATGAACGTGTCGTGCCCCTTGCCGTTCGTCGTGCGCCGTATATTTTTACCTTCACTCATAATTTACGTAATCCCTAACCTACAATTTTGTCCCTGATTCACAGTTCGCCCTGAAATCCACCAACCTCCTCAAAGCAAAACCGTCCTCGCAGACACAAATGTTACCTTCTTCTGTAACGCAACTGGTGTTCCACAACCAACACTCACCTGGACCTTCAGTAAAGGCAGAGTTCGTTCCACAGATGTAACAGCAAACAGCCTGCTTCTTCCTTATGTACAGAATACTGACTCGTACGAAGGGGTTTACACGTGTAATGCTAGTAATATTGTTGGAACGGCAAGTACTTCAGCGAGGCTGACCATACATAGTAAGTATAAATTTGCATGACTATTAACAGTCAGAAAAGGGGCTCGTCCGTGAAGTACGTTCCACACACACACTATCACTACATTCTATATTATAATACACAACGCTCAACTCACATCTTGATTTTTATGAAGAATGAAAAACTGGAGAACCTGGAGAAAAACCCTCGTGGCAAGAGAGAGAAGACAAAAAATCAAACAAACTCAACTGACACTTGCGGTGAGGAACCTAGTAGCGCATGACACTCAAAACGGAATAGAGTGAGTCTACGAGGTGTGGAGGCGAAACTTGGTACTTCAAGAATAGCTTTGTATGTACGATTCTTTTTCGATGCGCTAACAAAACAAATCTTCTCTTCATAGCAATGCCCAAAATAACCATCCATCTCCCAGGATCTATGATCATAGAACGAGGAACAACAGCTAACCTTACCTGTGAATCACGTGGTGATCCAGAACCTAAATATCGTTGGTACAAATCAGATCGACTTGTAAATGAAAATAAGACCCTGTTGCTAAGCAACGTGACCGTTAAGGATGAGGGGAGGTATACATGTGAGGTGTATAACATTGAGGGGAATGATACTACGTCAACGAACATCACTGTACACGGTGAGTGAGTCTAGTATACGATAAACCAAGGGGTTTTCTATTGTGCTTTAAGTTTTTGATGGACATTTTTCGTTGTTGTTGTTGTTTTCTTTTCGTTGCAGGATTAATAAATTTAGTATCTTAAGAATTTTTTGTGTTTTCGTTTGTTTGTTGTTTTTTTGTTTTTTGTTTTTTGTTTTGCTTTTGTTTGTTGTTGTTGTTGTGTTTTTTTTGTTTGTTTGTTTGTTTTGTTTTGGTTTGGTTTGTTGGGGAGATTAACTGAATATCTTAAGAAAATTTCATTTATTCTTCCCCATCTTTCAATTTTCTTTTTGTCACTCATAATAGCCGTTCCAGTATTGTTGCAAGCACTCCCTTTGGTCAGCGGCATCATCTTGAATAAAACACTTCAACTATCATGTAGAGCCGAGTCTATTCCTCCACCAAATGTGACCTGGTTATTAAACGGAAGTCTGGTGACCAATGACAGCCGAAGTYACTTTTTCATACAAACATCCGGGATATTCGTAAAGACCTCGACTCTGACGATCACCCGCGTGCAATATGAAGACAGAGGGACGTTTCAGTGTGTGTTTAGTAACTATAGGGGCATTGTCAATAGTACTACTTCACTGGAGGTGTACGGTAAGCATATATGGATAGAATTTTACAAACGTTTCCTAAGAAAATTCAAAATTACTAAATTACTCAGAACTCGACACAAAGCAATAGAAATAAATGTTCAACCAATCAGCGCGCAGCTTACGCTTGTCGGCTCCTAATTCTAAATGGCGGATCGAGGAAGAAGTAAATTGGGCTTCCTGTGGTTAAATATTTTAGTCAAAATTAATATAGTATCGTAAATGGGGTACTTTTACTTGATTCCCAACCGTATCTCCAGAAAAGTCGTACGCGAGAAGGAAACGTGCACAAAAACGTATTGCAATATGACAGATGAAGTGTTTGTCAATGATATTCGCTTAACTATTTGAATACCGTTAAAACTCGACAAAAATATATTCTCTCTTCGCTACACTCAATAAAGACTTTAGTAACACATGAAAGTAAAAGTACTGAAGCTTTTGGGTGTTGGTGGATGGTCTGAAAAGAAGCAATGCGGGGTGGGAGGAATACAAGGTCCTTTTATAATTTTTCTCAAAAAATTTAGTCTCTACTTCTTGTAATATTTCAGCATGCAATTACTAGTTATAAATTTATAAATTTATTATTGAAATAAAAATCATAGGACAAAAGCTGCAGATTCGACGTAAAATAGTGTTTGCGATCCGCACAATCCAGTTAACCGAAGTCCAGTCCATTCCACCCATGCACGGTTCCTGATTTTCCAAAATTAAAAATCTTTCAAAATTTCAGAATCTAGAAGCATAAATCAGATTTTAGTGGTTGGGTATATTTGTACTACACAATACGATTATCCATACCTTTGGAACCGCCTTAATTGACTTCACCAAAACCTACTTTGTCGCAACGGCAAATTTAACTGTATGATTTCGCGCGTGTGATCGAGAAGCGCTGTAATAACTGGTTTTCTTTATTTCACTGCAGTCCCACCGAGAATCGTAACTCCACTGACAAACAGGACGTACCCCAAAGGAAGCATGCTAACCATGACTTGCCAAGTCACCGGCGATCCCTATCCCAGTGTTTATTGGTTCAAATCAGGATCACGTGACATCCCACGTGCGCAGTTATCCAATAGAAACACGACGTTGGTAATCAATGATTTGAGGTTTGGTGATCGTGGAGAATATCGATGTATGGCTGTGAACAAGGGAGGGAATGACTCGTCCACCGCCACAATTATCATCACAGGTTTGTCATTGACTTTATAGGGTTGTTCTTGCTCTTCTTCTGCGTTTTGATTTCTCACACTCTGCGGTCCCCTTTGGTCATCAGACCGAGAGGGATTGAGAACGAAAAAAGTACGCCACACACAGGTAGCCCATGTATTTTTATTCTCATTGTAGTACCAACGTCAGTGGAGATCGCAAGGCCATTCACTAGAGTCTACAGTCGTGGCATGGCCAACATTAATATCACTTGCTATGCTATCGGCTTCCCTAAACCAACCTTGGAGTGGCGCAGATATGGAGCACGTATTCCTGTAGTCTCTAATCTCACGGAGGGCAACAAGCATGTAATGGTTCAAATCATTAAAGATGATGTCAGTGGGGTGGATAATCTAATGAAGATGTACAGCGTGCTTTACTTGAGACCAGCAGGGATAACCTATGATGAGGCAGGGAACTATACATGTGTGGCTAATCGATCTATTGATGGAATGTCTGCGCAGAAGACGATAGAAGTTTTGTGTAAGTACGAAATATCTTTTTTACGTTACTGGGTCTGGAATCCCATGTCCAAAACCTTGATGTTACGTCACTTACAAAACTAACATTCATATGACGTTACTTGAGACCTAACATTCATATGACGTCACTTGAGACGTAACATTCATATAAGACGTAACATTTATATGACATCACATTAGACCTAACATTCATATGAGACCTAACATTCATATGACGTCACATGAGACGTAACATTCATATGAGACGTAACATTCATATGACGTCACATGAGACCTAACATTCATATGACGTCACATGAGACCTAATATTCATATGACGTCACATGAGACCTAACATTCATATGACGTCACATGAGACCTAACATTCATATAAGACCTAACATTCATATGACGTCACATGAAACCTAACATTCATATGAGACCTAACATTCATATGACGTCACATGAGAGCTAACATTCATATGAGACCTAATATTTATATGACGTCACATGATACCTAACATTCATATGACGTCACATGATACCTTACATTCATATGACATCACATGAGACCTAACATTACGACGTTATAAAGACTGAACGAGGACTTTTTTCTTAATCTCCCCTTAGTCCCTCTGTAATACGACGTCACTTGAAACGTGACATTTATATGACGTCACCAAGAATGACATTTATAATGACGTAACCTGGATTTTTTTGCCCTCCTTGTAAATGAAGTCTTGCTCCATTTATACGCTATCTAACGAGGCGTAATAATAATGTATATCTTGTTATAATTTAGTCGTACCAGAATTCGACGTCACGCCACGAACGCAGATAGTCACGGTGGGAAGTAACGTAACGTTTTCCTGTAACGCTTCTGGCATCCCGTCGCCTACCATCTCTTGGTTCTTCAATGGTAAACCAATTATCGCTCCTAGTATTCCTAGCGTGCGTCGAGACATTTTAAGAGTTTTCTTAGTGCAGAACACTGATGCGTATGAAGGGCAGTATACGTGTAGTGCTACAAGCAGAGCAGGGACTTCAAACTACACGGCTTCTTTGGCCATAGACGGTACGTATACGTGCTAATGGATCTCGTGTTAACATACCATTAATTTTAGCTAATGTATTTTCCATTCATCAACAGTTGCGCCTGTTGTCATAGACTTGATTGGTAACACCACAGTGTTTTCTGGGTCAAAGATCAATCTGACGTGTGTTGTACAAGGAGATCCAGTACCGCGCGTCCTGTGGATGAAGGACGGATCGATGATCCCGCCACGTGCTAATGTTTCTAAAGATACATACAGTTTGATAATTGAAAAGGTAGTGTTTGAAGACAGAGGACTCTACCAGTGTGTTGCAGTTAACAGAGCGGGAAATGATAGCCGTCAAGTGCGCATGACCGTATTGGGTAAGACCTCCTTTTATATCCCTAAAAAGAATTAAATACCTTCATCCATTAATTCATCCATCCATCCATCCATCCATCCATCCATCCATCCATCCATCC